CAAGAATGTTTACACACACACAAGGATTTTGCAGTTTAGAACACCCGTCCGGAGAAACACACACACATGACAAACATGGGGGGACAAATGTCCAGGGTCCTTCGCAACATCTTGCGCTACCGTGCGCTAATAAATCCATAACACAAACAGCTTTTCTGACATTATTTAAAACATTAGCTAGATTATATAAACCGTCAAATATTAATAATAATTGGATTAATATTATTATTAAAAGTTTTCGTGATTTCTACATCGTCAGCCCTTTTTTTCTGCTCTGTCAACATGTACAGTAATGGGAAATCCAGACACTTGACCGTTTTGCGTTAGCCGTGAGCTTCACCAGCCGATCACACGGTCATGTGGTTTCTGAGCCCTCCAGCTGTTCTATAGAACCTCCTTGTATCTAACCAAAATGTAAAGAAACACCACAAGTCGGGGTCTACTCTGAACAAAGAGCAATTGCTAGAAGAAGTTTACCTCTCTCTATCCCCCCCAACACACACACACACACACACACACACACACATACACACACTTTTTTTTCAAAATGAGCTGTGTCGACTTTGACTGACAACTGTGCAGTGTGGGGGTTAATTGTCAGAACTAACAAGTGGCCGTGGCAGCTGCTGAAAGACTCGGACCCTTCTACTCAATAAACCAGCGCAGGCTGAGCTCAGGGGATCTCTGCAGGCACAGGGTTGCCTTACACAACGACTTCAGATACAAACCAGTGCTCAAAATCTCTGATGACTTGTGACTGTCTGATGATGAAGAAAAAAACTCACTGCATTTAATTACATATCCATAAAATGTAAAAATGATGAGCTCCAACAGCTACTGGTGGTCCCCCTTCCATCTGATTGGTTGTGTCTGCTGTCTCTGTGCAGTTAAAATGTGGTAAGCCAGGAGCCCCCTGGAGACAGCATTCAAATATTAGCAACCTCAATATTATTTCTAGAAGGCCACGCAAAAGGCCGAGCCAGGCGAGCCAGCCCGTTTGAAATGAGAGCTGGCTTGATGCACCACCATCGTGCTTCGCATTGCTGCAGGAACCTGCCAGCAGCCCCTCTGATTGGCACAACAAGCTGGGTTTTGTGTGGAGGAGTGCCATCTACGCGTCTGCGTCAGTCATCGTTAAGCGTTTCAATCCGCTGGCCAGTTTCTGGAAGTCTACGGAGCTAATGTTGTAATCAATCCAAACCCACGAGTCCACTCTTCCTCCGTCTGGTTAGAGACAGGCTGCTCTCCAACATTTCATGGAAATGGCTCCATCTCTTTGTGAATGCTGACCTAATAGAGCCTACTCCTAACGCTGATGCCCCCCGTCTTCACACTTTACGAGCAGCCCGTCGCTCCTGTAGACCTTATCCAGTTTTGGGGGCCGAAGTAGCAAGGAGGTACCCGACTATTTTCAGAGGAAGGAATCTGCCCTCCCTGCTCTTATGTTTGATTGCAGTTTTTTTATTGGACGGTGTCGTAGCAGCAAACTTAAAAAAGAAATACACATCAGTGAAGTCACCTTGTTACTTGAAATGAAGCTGATCTGAGTTTGAATGGTTCAGATCTTTTGAAAAGGGGTTCTGTAAAGGTTATCAGTGATTATCACCCCACCCTCTGTAGATACAGGCAAACCAACACAGACACAACAACATGGGAGAAAACATTATTACCACGTTGCCTTCCATGGTGGGCCCTAAGAAAAATCACATTTGAATTTCTTGACGTGTTTTGAATTTAGAGTTTTTATCCGTGAAGCTACAGGCCTTCAGGTCGACTCGCGGGTCATCATGTGATAATAATGACGGACAGCAGAGAGGTAGGACAGCTGATTCTTCTGATGGCCTTTTCTCATTTCTGGGACTGTCGTTTAATTAAATCCACAGTTCTCCTCGGTCTACAAAAACTAAATAAGAACAACAGCCCTGTGCATGTTCACAGTATGTATGAGCTCTGTATGTTGCAAATGGAATATGGAGCACAGCCATAACATCATAGACTGTCGATTCAGGAGGTTAGGTTAGTTCTGACTCCATTAGATAGGCAACATAAATAGGCAAATGTGGGATATTATTGTGTTTTTTGTGCTCACATATTCTCCGTTCGAGCTACTTCATGGGATCTGAAATGTAATTTGGTTCACATTAGATGCTTCTTAAAATGCAAATGTCTGCACTGTACCTCTGTCTTATACTGCATAAGATGCAGATGGTGGACATTCATCTACCAGGTAATCAAATTTGACTTTTTTCCCCCCAGACTCTAACACTTACTGTATATTGGTTCCTAGATGAAATTCTGCAGAGTGGTTTGGGTTTGACTGCAGAGGTGACCAGTATTCAAGACTTTTGTAACGGTGAGCTTGTGCAAAAAAACAAGGTGCCTCTTACCGATTTTATCAGTTTTAATGGATTTCCTTTTAATCCATTAATTATTCATTTTTGAGGGGCTGCTTTAGTCTTTTTTCTTGCAGCTTAGTACATAATCATTTGACCATCAGTTATAAGAAATCTTAATTTGTCTGAAGCCCTTATGTAAACCCTTTGTAAAGTGATCAAGCAGACTGTGCCTGGATCAATATGCGACATAATAAATTCAAAAGTAGCATGGCTTTAAGAAATTCACGCCAGTCACGTTGAATGCCAAAGCTTTAAAGAAAAATGTATCATTTCTTAGTACTCAGGGTATAACGCGGTAATGATGCTCAGCACCACCACCACACCATCCATATGTGTAAACTGGACTGAGTTGAAGCCATTTTGCTGGCTTGCAGCCATCAAGTTGACTCCAACATCCAATAAGGATGCAACTCATCTTATCCTGTTCAACCAAAGTTTTTCCTTTATGCAATTAGATAAATCTGGCTAAATTAAACTGCCTTTTATTATCTAATCAGCTGTAGAGAGCTCTGAACAGTTTCATTTGGGAGAAATTACAGATTTTTGGACATGAAACCCATGCTACCACGTGGTATTTTTGGAGACAGGATCTGCAGATTTATAATGTGGAGATGCACCCTCAACACAAAAGTCTCACCCACACACTCTTCCAACGAACACACTGTTACACGGTGAGACTCAGTGTAAAACATATCTTTTAAGCATCAAATAACTAAATAATATTAGAGATGCATTAGATTTTTTTAGTAGCTACAGAAAGTGACCCATTCATTTCCATGGGAGGGGCAGGACTTAAAAAATGTACTGAACCTAGTGGGTCCCTTGACCTTTGTGGCTTCACCTTCTAGTTTCTGATACTTGATGGTTTGATTTCACAATAATAAAAAATAATAGATTTTCTTATACTTTTATGTCTTAAATTATTATGATCTGAAGCACCTTGTGGTTTTTACCCTGTTAGTGAAAATGTAAATGAAGTAAAACTTGATCGAACGTGAAAACCAGGTGTTTTCATGCAGCTGGAGCCGCTTGCATTTACATAACACTGTAGTTATGTATGAGCTGAGTGTGTACAAAGTAATGTATTAGATCATTATGACTCTCTGAAGTGTAAATGAGGGGGTTTTATCTTCATTTTGCTTTGTTTTAGTCTATAAAAGCAGTCGTGAAGCGCTCTGATTAGTTCAAACCTGCCTCTGCTGTTCATCCCACAGAGAACTGTGCACACACCATAAAGGTGAAAGACCCTTAATTGGACGTTTATTAGAAAGCTACAGGTTGATTACAAAGTCCTAATGAGATAAAACCACAAAGTCTTTATAAACTCAATGGGCTCGTTTCTGTAACAGAGCCATAAACTTGTTTGATCCAATGAATGTGCAGCTGCCTTCTTTCTGTGTGTGTGTGTGTGCGCGCGCGCGCGCGCGTGTGTGTGCAGAGGGAATCGTCCAGCTAAAAAGTTTGAGAAGCCTTCCTCCTCCTGTCCCCGCTCATCATCACCATCATCATCATCATCACCACTATGATCACCCCCCCACACACACCCTCCTCCTCGTCCTCCTCCGTTCTTTCCCAACTCCACGCACTGTTTTCCCAGATTTATTCACGTGCAGCTCGCGTCCGCCTCACTCAGACATTCTGTCGCCAGCGCCGTGACGTCACCTGCGGCAGCGCGCCTCCTCCGTTTCGAGCATGTCCCTCCGCCTTGTCTTCAAGATGAACTAGTCCCAGTCGCTGCTGCAACCCTGAACTTAAAACTCTCGAGACAGAATGAATGAATAAAGAAAGAAAGAAAAAAATATATAAATAAATAAACAAATAAAAAGCTTTTGTTCTAGAATATTATACGACTGACGGCTATAAAATAGTATGAGTCTATCGTTTTATTGCACAATATTGTTCACACAGGATCTGTTTTGATTTCAAATATTAATAGAATATCTTGAGTTTTTCATCATTTTTCCCCTCTCATTTAAATTAGAAAGGGTTTGTGTATTATATTTATGTGGACAGATATAGGTTACAAGGAAAGAGGACAATTTGTGATGTTTTTGTGTGCTAAGAGTAAGACATTATACAAAAACTCCCAAAATGTTTATCTTGTCATTGCACATTAAGTATGTGGTCTTGAACTCACTTTTTCGTAGACATAAGGAGCATTTCTTATGTCATTGTTATGGGAGCTCATTAATTATTTTTTTTAATAAAACAAGACAGATAACTTTCTGTTTGTCTGCAGTTCTGTTGCAAATAATTGATTTGAAATATTCTGAGGGAAATGCCTTGTGTGAAAATCAAATAAAATAGTGAAAATACTACAAAACAGGCTAAATTGGATGTTGTTTCTGTCATCAATCAAGGCTAATTACATGTATAAAAACGCACTTTAGCAAGCAGATTCTTTTTTTTGTTGTTGTTTTGTAAAATGCATGTGACCCTTCAAACTGTCAAAATGAAACTATATTTTTCATGAGAACCAAATGATTAAGAAATCATCATTGTTTCACAGTTACATAATCTGTCCATGCAGTGAATGAAGATGCTGTGTTTAAAAAAAAAAAAAAAAGTAGGTCTTGCTGTTGTCTGACGGGGTGAGGGGAGGGGAGGGGTGTGCTACATCCCGCGGAGTGATACTGGCGCTCAGCGGAGAGTGAAACGCCCCCGCGACTCCCTGACGCCAGGTCTAGCAGCAGCAGACTCAACTCAGGGCAGTGGGAGCTAACTGGAGGAGTCTGCTTTACCCTCGGAAACACAAGGTACTGTAAACTTTTACTCTTGTTTCACACCACGATCAATGAAATAAAAGAAAACACGTTTCTTTGTATTGTCTCACTTTACGCGGCGCGTGGTTTGGTTTTTAAGGAAATAGTTCCCACCAGTCAGCAGCAGCACAGCAGAAACTTTTTTTTTCCTCATTTACTTATTATTATAATAATTTCTGCCAAACTGGAGACACACTAAGTTTTTTTTGTGTGTGTGTTTCTTGGGTAGTTCTTTTCATATTTTCCAAGTAATAGTTGTGCATTTCAGAAAGAGGTTAAGTGGTGAGTTGTAATGATGCTTAATTATGTTTTTCCTCAAATGTCCTTAAGCATGCATCAGCATAAGCTTTATTTAAGTATTTAGAAAATTGAAACCACTCTGATAAAGCACATGTAAGGGAGTCTTGTATATTTGTTATTGGTTGCACACTGTGAATGAATGGATATGTGCCATTTTTTTTAAAAAATTTACACTTAATTTGCATTTTGTTAGCAAAACCTATACAAAATGGCAACTAGAACCAATGTGATGTCCCCAGACTGCTTCAGTATACTGTAAATCAGTGGCCTAAGCATGAGTACTTTTATTAATGAATGGAAAGAATGACAGAACTGTGTCAACATTATGAACTTATTGTTTATTCAACTTACCTGATTGCATAATCTGGAGTCACACAACTATCACATCCAAGGAATATAAGTTAGCTGATATTCAGAAAAATGTGCAACAACACACTTGTCTTTGTTCACAGTTCCCTGCAGGAAATGTGAATAAAGTATTAAAATTTGTTGAATAAAGTATGCATTGGAAAGTGCTTTGTTTACATTAAGTGCATACCCTTCTTTCAGAATTTCATATCATTATTTAAAAAAAAACACTGTTGTAAACACTTTTGAACTTCTACAGAGATTTAGTTTAGGATCACCCTTATTAAGTTTAATTTCATAGTTTGCAATGAGAGACTTTAATTAACATGTTATCACTTAATAAATACCTGATGATGAAGAAGTGCCATTTTATTGTGTAACATATTTGACACTAAATACACATATGCAAAATGGCCTGATCTGAATTTACTAAACATCAACAAAGTCTGAAAATTTGATTCTAATTTCCCCTCTTCTGTATTACAATTTTATGGTTTCATTTTGTAAAGCTAACTTGATAATAATTTGAAAGGCTATTCAGAGAGTCCTAAACAGCCGTGCATTTATTATGACATGTTTTTGTCTAAACGCTGTACCTCTGAGTTAATAAAATCACTGTGGGACACGTCCCTACCACGTTTTTACCATTGTACCACCTTCTGATTCATGCAGATTCTCCATGACCTTTCAGCAGCTCCAGTTCTGCTTGAGTTTAGGTGTTATTGCTTATTTATACGTTTGTCAGCCTGTGCAAGAGAGAAAAGAGGAATCGAATGAAAGACCTACAGCAGCAAAGACCACAGCTCCTGACATTATTGAGGAGGACATATCAGATTACTCAAAGGACAGGAATTTGTCCTTGTTTGTGGTGCACTTTCAAATGGACCATTGCTTTGGATTCACTGGGTTTACGTCTATAAGGACTGTTTGTGAAACTTGCCTTTTTTCACTGTTTTGAAAAACCATCACAAAACAGATATGATGTAAGATCCTTCCTTCTGTCCGTCCGTCCGTCTGAATGGAGTGGTCTGTTTTACAGTTAGACAGGTAAAGAGTTGCACATCATGTCCATTCAAACAGCTAAACCCACCTTGATTAAATTCCAGTAAATAATCAGAAGTTGTTGTCCTTTCCTTGCATGTTTGTGTGGTGTGGATGAAGCGGCCTCAGTGCGGCGGAGCGAGGTGTTCATCCTAACACAACACAAACCCAGCACTGAGTGCCTGGCATGTTTGAGATGGCAGCTTGGAAACCCATGTGTTTGCTTGTTACGTCTGCTGTGGTTGTGTGTGGACAGCTGCGTCTGCGATGTAAAGAATCTGATTCCAGCTCAGCCAATCCAGTTCTGGATAATACTCCAAACTATTTTTGCTGTATTTTTTTTTCCTTTCTATTTTGTGTGTGTGTGTGTGTCATTCTCAAAGTGATGCGATTGCTGGATTTCATTTGTGTGTGTGTGTGTTCATGTTTATCAGGAAGCATGGCCCTCTCCCTTCCCCAGCAACCAAAAGGAGACTCTTGGGTCATTGCCATGTCTACTCAGTGAGAGCAATACCTCCCGTCTGTCTGTGGTTATTTCTAATCTTTGCTCTGAGACTGTTGTAGTAACTGAAGAGGCAAAAATGTTTATTTCTGCCTCCCACAGATGATGACTGAGCCACCATGCTTTTCGTTTCACACCAAATGAGGCATTCTTTTAGGAGCCTCTGTATTTTTTATTTTATTTTTTTTACTATTGTTGAAATTTACTTTAAGGAACTTTTTTATTGTTTATGTAAATAAAAAAAATGAATTTTGACGATACTCGCGTGACTTGTGGATTATGCTGGAAACATTTTTATGAATGCGCCAAAGTGTTTTTTTCTTATCATTTCAACCTTTCAGCCGCATGGCGATGGCATTTTAGCAGCAAACAGCAATGTGACCATGTTAAAGAAATGACAAAGAAAAATACCTTTTTTTTTCAAATCTACATTTCTGTGTGAACAAGCCCATAAAGTTTCAACAAGTACAGTATTTTTACTGTTGCAAATCCATATCGTTTGTGCAATGGTGATGAAACATTTTAACATTTTGTCTAAGCATGAGATCAAACTCAGAAGGTGTTTAATTGACAATAGAAAACAAAGACATACATACAAAGTGTTCTGTCATTTGATTAAACAAAACTAGATAGGCCTACAGTTGGGTTAATTTTGCTCTAGACTATAAAATGAATAAAATACTGAACTCCTTTTGTTGAGTTGACCAGCAGTTTGGCTAGTGATGTTAATGTAAAATGTGTGTGGTAAATAGGGCTGCCACAAATGATTATTTTTATAATCGATTAATCACCGATTATTTATTCGATTAGTCGAATAATTGGATCATACGTTAATTGAATATAAAACATACAGCTTATTGTGCCAGAATGCAGCTGCTATTATATAACCATGGTTAGATTTTAGCTATATGCTAACTAAAAATAATTGCTGTGGAAGGCAAGTTCTGCTCGGCAGATATTACACAGGTTTCTCTTTCATTTTCTTAAAAAGATCCCACACTTTTGAGCTCCGTTGTCAGGTAGCCATGATACCAGAGCCTGTCTGTATAATGTCTTGTGGCGTCCACGGCCTACCCCAGTTACCACTACTGTGCATGTGTGTCAAGGACAGAAAGGCAGATGTGGCAGTGGAAGGTGTCAAAGCAGTTTGGAGAGAAAAACAAAGTAAAGAACAACAACAACAAAAAAAGAAAACGATTAATCAATTATTAAATTAGTCATCGATTATTTTAATAATCGATTAGTCGTCGATTAATCGATTAATCGTGGCAGCCCTAGTGGTAAAATAAGAAAATCAAGTTATATAAACCTGATTGGAACTTTAGTGTTCTTATTAAGAATGGTCATTTTTAGCAACAGTGTTTGAATTGTCTGCAATTGTTGGATTTTTCTTCAAATATTCAAACTGTTTAAAAAAAAACGCTACTAATTAAACTACAGTGTCAGAAAGATGCTTGAAAACTCTTTTTGGCTTTAGGAGTGGTTGGGTGTCAAAACATAGCACATCAACTGGAAAAGCACCATCAGGAACCAACTTGTCACTATCCAGTTTTAGCGTATTAAAAAAAAAACGTCTTTAATGTCTTCATTAATAATTTGAATTCTCCCATTTTAACTGGACTTTAAATGTCAGCCTTTTAAATTGTACAGAGTGCCGCAGTTTTTTTTTCTTTAAAAGCTAATGTCGTCTTGTGTGCCATTTAGTTCAATAACAGAAGCTGGATTGGTACAAGTTTGAAATGACATAAATTAAACATAGTGTTACTGTTTACTCAATGTAATGACCCTTGAACACAATTAATATTAAGAGTGGTCTGTAACGAGACCAGATACACGAGGGTTTTCAATCTCCTCAGTCCCCACAACACCCAGTCTGTCTTGAATCTCTGGCTTCGCCATCACTCTCTTTTCCTTGCTCATCTTCTGTCTGCATCATTCCCTCTTTCTTCCTGTCTTCTTTTTGTTATCTATCTTCCTCTCTCTTCCTGCACTCCTCTGTTTATAGCCTGTGACTCCACGGGGGTTAATGGAGGCCCCATCCAGGACCCTGCTGATAAATAATGTAGCATCTTCATAATGCCCCCTCCCTGGGGAGGGTCCAGAGAGCATCATTACTGCCTCCTCATCCTGCACAGCACAGGCCTAAATTGATTAACAGACACTGGAGTGGTGCAAAATGATCCATGTGGCTAGTGTAGTGGCTAACAGCTCACACCAGGTGGGTCAAAGCCCCCGCCTCGCCGTGTCGCGTGATCCCACTCTGTGCTCCCATTATCTTCAGTCTCTGTCCAGTAGGTTAACGGATGACCATAACAATAACACAATAGCCAAAGAGCGATGCTTAGAAATGGCTGCAGGGAACATCAGAAGGGTTTTCTAGGCTGTTGTGTAAATGATGGTGAGCGTTTCAGTTTTTATAGGGGAAAGAGCAGCTTCAAGGCCACTGCATGCGTGACTCTTCATTGCTGGACTATGAAGCTTAAAGTTTGATGTCTTCATGTAGGATTCTAATAGAAATGAGCTAACACAGCATTCTCTTCAAATAAAGGAGGTATAATCCAAATCTAATATTAAAAAGAAAAACAAACCGAAAACCAATTTGAAGTTGCACTTGTTGGTGAAAGTCCCAAAAGTCGGGGGTGCACAAAAGGACTTTTTTTTTCATAGTCTATACCTAGATATGTCAGAGCAGCACACATTGGTGCCTTTATATTTTGACTGTCCTACAGACAGTCCAAACTAGCTTTGTTCTAATAGGCCTCACAGGGTCAAAGCATGCGGTGAGTCAGATTAGATTGACTGTCGTGGGTGAAAACATCCAAAGAAGTGTGGTCTCCAGCTGCAGCTGAATCACAGCAGAAGTTACGTCTGCGCCAGATGTTGCAGTTGTTGGTGTGAAATCTTCCATGTGAAATTGGTTAAAGTTTGTTTTGTGTTCAGCCGGTCTTAAATTATGCTGATAGGCCTGGCTGTTACTGAGAAGTCATCAAAGCACCTCCGTGGCTTCTTCTGTGTCTGGTTGGTGGTCTTGCCACAAATATGATGTTGCTATTTTTGTCTCTTATTTTGCACTTTAAGTTCAACTCCCAGGTCAGAAGTATGTGACTTAGAAGATGTTCTGAGTCCGTTTTTCATCAGAAACCAACAAGGTCACAATGTAGAAAGAGGACCAGCATTCCTCTGGTTTCATTTTCATGATCAAATAAAATGCACTCGTTAATCTGTAGGATATTACCATCCTGCCTGCTCTGATAAAAGGCACAATTTGTTTTTTTAGGAACAAAATGAATGTCACAGCTTCAGGGACACTAAAATATGAAGTAACAAAAACGTATATTAAGTCTGCTTATATTTATATTCCAGTTTTCTTCAGTGAAGAGAAAGCATGAGAATTAGCATCTACGGTAACTGTCTTACTAGGGTTGGGCAATATTGGCAAAAAAATTAATCACGATTAATTGTGGTATTTAGGTGATAACGATTAATTTGATGATTAATCCCCTGGAGTCCATGGACACACTTATGTCCTGGTCACATGACCAATTTAGTGGGAAAAATTTGTAAAAATCTGTTCCAAATTGTGTCAAAATTACCGACTTCTGGCTATACATCAAATTTTAAATTGTCTTGATGGATAAATAAATTACACAACTTTTTAAAAAAAAATTTCATCATATTTGAAGTGGAGAGGAGCACCGAGCGGACTGAAATCTCCAGTCCATCTGCCTGGTGGCATAAATCGTATTAATCGTCAAGTGCCAAAAAGTAATTGATTAATGTTTTTCTGACTATTAATCGCACGCAATACGCTTATGCCCAACCGTATGTCATACACAGCTACTTTGCAGACTTTTATTTAAAGTGGCAGCACAGATTAATGACAGATTAATTAACTATTTAAAAGGGTTGGGCATAATCGTATTGTGTTCAATTAATCGTCAGAAAAACAATCGATTATTTTTTGGCACTTGACGATTAATACGATTAATGCCACCATCAGTCTGCTCGATGCTCCTCTCCACTTCAAATATGACAAACATTAAAAAAAGTTCTGTAATTTATTTATCTATCCACACAATTTAAAAATTGATGTATAGCCTGAAGTCGGTAATTTTGACACAATTTGGAACAGATTTTTACTAATCTTTCCCACTAAATTGGTCATGTGACCAGGACATAAGTGTGTCCATGGACTCCAGGGGATTAATTGTCAAATTAATCGTTATCGGCTAAATACCACAATTAATCGTGATTAATTTTTTTTGTCAATATTGCCAAACCCTACTATTTAAACATTTATTCAAAGTCATTCATAACTGCAATGCATCTAAAAATTGATCATCATAACCCTCACTCTTGTTATCTAACACCTGACCCAATTTTTTTAACTGAAAGTTGTCTTAATGTTCCAGATCACAGGAAGACCTTGAACTACAGATTTCAGTTTTATGATTATGTCTCTTTGATCTCCCACACTTTGAAGGTCACCGGTGTCTCTACCTCCTACATTTTTAGCTTGGTACAACCTTTTTTTTTTGCAGCTGAATCTGTGTTGCTTTTCAATTGTGAAGAAAATTTTATTCTCAACTTGACAAGCCCGTAAACTGCACTTGATAGCATAAAACTTTCCTGCCCGTTTGCCAAGATGATGACACATGTAGCAGTTGACAAAGATAGAAATCACTCATCCCATCATAAACTTCAGGGCCAGGAATAACTACAGAGCAGTCTCAATGATGTATTTGTTCCTGCTCGTAGAAAATCCAATGAACAGTGAACTTTTCAGTCGAAGAGTCATGCATCATTGATGAATCAGTTTGGATAATGCTGCTGGGTTTCTGACAGGCTGTTTATGTGATTCTAGGATTGCATATGAACATCCATCCACAACCGAACCTCAACGTAACTAAGTTTTATCTTTGTAAATGCAACCGGAGAACATTTAAAAAGAAGTTGGAGTGGACAATACTCAATTCACATTTTTATTATTTTCTTTTTAAAGCTAGAATACATGTGTAGTCTGGGTACTGACTGAATCATATTTGACATTTAATGCTTAATAGTTTACAGTGATTATGATGGTGATTTACATCCCTCCAAACTATGAGCCACAGTCCGCAAATCTATGTAATGGACTATTTACAATGGGTTCTAAATGTCAAGTTCCTCAGCATCTTCTTTCTGAAGGTTGTGCTGGCCCCATAAAGCGTGCTGTCTTTTTCTGTAAATGACTTTAGTAATTAGTTGTGATGTGACAAGTCATACAGACAGGAAACTATCGGGAGCATGTGTGGTTTAAGGTTGATATCCTCAAAGTCCGATCAGAGTGGATACAGATACAGAGTGGTGGAGTGGTTAGGTGAGTTGTCACATAACCGGTAGGTTTCTGGTTCGATCCCCCCGTTCCAGCTGTTTCACTTGTTATGTCCTTGGGCAAGACACTTAACCCGCCCTGCCTATTGATGGTGGTCAGAGTGTCCGGAGGCGCTGCTCCAGGGCTGTAGCTTACTACCATCAGTGTGTAAATGGGTGAAGTGTAAAGTGCTTTGGGGTCCATATGGACTTGATAAAGCACTATATAAGTTTAAGCCATTTGCTTCATTGCTGCTGATGTTTTGTTAATACTGCAGTTCAACAAAAGCAAATAGTCCAGACTCTGCAAAACTGTGAGTGACTTATTTTGTTGGCGGTTTTAACTTACATGAACATTCTTTTCCTTTGCACCTAGTGACTCAGAAGACGGGGCCTTGGAAGCTCCGACGTACCGGGGGACAAAACAGTTCTGTACTTTCCCCACGTTTGTCTTCTGAGTCCTGACGATCCTACACCTCTGCTCACGCTTTCTTTTTGGAGAGTGGAGGAGGGCGACCCGTGCACAATGAATGTTACGTCGCTCTTCTCCTTCACCAGCCCCGCGGTCAAACGGCTGCTGGGTTGGAAGCAGGGGGACGAGGAAGAGAAGTGGGCGGAAAAGGCCGTGGATGCTCTGGTTAAGAAACTGAAAAAGAAGAAGGGAGCCATGGAGGAGTTGGAGAGGGCTCTCAGCTGCCCGGGTCAGCCCAGTAACTGTGTGACGATCCCCCGCTCGCTGGATGGACGGCTGCAGGTGTCCCACAGGAAGGGCCTGCCGCATGTCATTTACTGCCGGGTGTGGCGCTGGCCTGACCTGCAGTCCCACCATGAGCTGAAGGCACTGGAATGCTGCGAGTACCCTTTTGGCTCCAAACAGAAGGATGTGTGTATCAACCCCTACCACTACAAGCGGGTGGACAGTCCAGGTGAGGAATATCATGTCGCTGTGAACACAGTTGCATAATTCTGTGCTGACATTGTACTTAATTAGCTCATTAGCTGTTAAACGACTTCTTCTTAGCAAAGTCGAGTTGCAGTTTTTCGGCTCAACAGAAAGATGAAACTGACTGCAGATTTAGGTGTTTTTTTCCATGAGACTACTGTGTTTCCTGCTTATGATTGTGCATCAAATTGGACGATCATTGTAAGAAAAGAAAAAAGGTGGCATGCACTATTTATAATTCTGGTTTTACTTGGCATATCAACTCAATTTAAAAGCTGGCTTAAAGTTTTTGACTCCACATCTGACTCAAATTGAAACAGAGTTTCAGAGAGGGCATTTCTTTCTGGTCCGTCTAAGCAGACGTTATCAGTTAATCGAATGGGACAAATTCTAATCTAGTAAGCCATTATTTGACAATTAATTGTAAGTCTATTAATTGTTTGTGTCCCTCTTTAATACAGTTCTACGTTCAGGTTTTGTTTTATCAAATCAAATTAGGGTTTAAATTCAAAGGAACAAATACGGCTGGTTTAAATATGAGATCTCAACGAACAGAAAGAAGTTCAGCTGACAAGATGAAAACAATTGTATGCAGGTTGCTAAATTGGTGAAGGCCCTAGTGTATGTGTGTGTTTATTCATGTGTGTACAGAGCAGGAAATTCCATCTGGGGGATAACGAGGGCTTTGTTTTGAGCATGCCCAGTACTGCAGGCCGTTTTTCCTTTTTTTTCCCCCTTACACATATGTTCACACACATTTGACTGCAGTCAGGGTTTCTCTGAGGATGGCTGCAACAGGAAGACACACACTCACACACAATGGGAGGAAAAAGTCGTTGGCTGCCTCGCACATGTTTTGTTTTAGCAGCGGGTGGAAGGCACAGGGCTAAGGTGATTCAACCCCACACCACCTGTCTGTCCACACAACCCCCCTCCCCACCCCCTCACACACCCACAGTCTATTTTTCCTACCCTAACACCACCCACTTACACACACACAGGTTTGTTTTCATATCCCCGTGGGGACCGTGGATTGACTTTGATTTATTTTCTGGTAATTGTCTAGCCTAACCCTGACCATTTACCCTAAAATAACCTCACCTAACCCAAAAACTAACCTAAACTCAATTCACACCTTGGTCCTAAACCTTAACCCCCCCACCCGAAATTATCATTGGGTCCCCACAAGGCTGCCTTTTTCTGGAAAACGGTTCCCACGATGTAGCAAAAACATGCCCACACACACACATTCTGTCAATCTCCCCTCACTATTCCATATAACACCACAGCTGTCCGCCTGCTCCACATTTAACCTCTGAAATAAATTTCTACATTGATGTATTGGCCTGCAGCAGCACACACTGACCACCTTCAGGAATACTGACAGCAGTGTTAACCTCATCTAAAATTTCAGCACCCACTTTATCTGCACAGGTTTTTATAGATTCAAGTGGAGCATGTCACTGTGTGGTTTTCATGCTGCACCTGAACAGCCCTCAGCTATGATTTTTACCCCCAAGTGCTGAATTCCACAAGAACTGCTCACCTTATAAAGTCTTTCAGAGCAGAAACCTGAGAGTCAGAGCCAGATAATGCTGGCTAAGACCAACTGTCTGGAAGCTGACAGCAGAAAAATGCAGCGACATCTGTGCTCAGAATGTCAAATCATGGGGATTGCCAAAAATATCGCTTGGAATCAAATAACTACCTCATTCAGTTTTATTCTACTTTTGTATGTGTGTATTTACACAAGATTTACAGGGGCACAAAATTATGAAAACATAAATTTAAAAAAATATCAGATAACCAATGCAAGAAAAACTTTTTTATTTCTATTTCATACACTGAACTCTGTAAACATAATTTAAAATTAAAGTTAAGCTGTATGGGTCCATCTGCTGAGTAATACCTGACTATGATTAATCACCTTTCATTTCATGTACTAACCACATCCCTTTACAGATTGTAATCTCTGTAAACAACAGATTATAATCAGATTGCAGCATATGTATG